TCATTTACATCTCGATAGATTTAAATCCAAATTATGCTCTAATGGAATATCTAAATCCACTTTTACCTCTACATCTTTTTTTTACATTTTCTGCCGAAAAACGCAATTTGCATTTTCTTTGCATCTCTCAATTAGAGAGGTTGTTTGCAACTTTGAAGACCTAAATCACAATTTAAATCAATTTTATGCCATTGTTGAAGATGCTCTAAGCTCTATAATTGAATTTTCTACTTGTATTCCTGTCTCATATTGTATACATTCTTTGCAGTTATATGATAGAACATTTTGTATCACCTTGCACTCGTATACATATCGTTGCAGTTTATAGGTGTTTGAAACTATTTAGGGGCATCAAAATGAGCTAGGTCGACCATGAAACATCAAATATTTGAATCTCAGCACGGCCAATGCTCGAATGTTGGGCTTGGCCAATCTAGGCAAAGTGCAGACCGACTCAGGTGACACCTCTTATCATTGGTGATATGAAGACCTTGTCCCAAATCTTAAATTTGAATGATATAGGAAAAGGATGTATGGGAGTTGTTTATATCTTTAAAACAAAAGGTATTATGCAGTATTTATTGCAATAACTCGATGCAAATAGTCAATGAAATATACTCCGTCCAAGTCCATAGGGGCCGCCTTATTCCTATCTTGAAAAATGAAGCTGAAAGAGTAACAATTCACTTCCCTCTCCAATGCTATCCAAAGCATTCGAAGCTAGACTAAACTTGGAAAGAAAAGTTTGAGCCACCCGAATGCAAGTCACATTCGACCAATTTGCAGTTGGAACCCGGTCTCTTTAGCAAAAGACTGACAATTGGAGTTACATTTTTTAGAAAGTTAACTATTAGGTAAAAACTCGATCCCTTATAAAGTCCATTTACCTCATGTCTAACAAATGCGAGCTAGACCAATTTCAATCTGACTCTCTAGTGAGTTGGTTCGCAACGAAACAGAGCCACCCGTCCATTTTTGACACCATCTCGAGACCATATCTAGAGACCACGAGCGTAAAACTTCGTGACATCTCTAGGGTATCTTAAAATCATAGTATCTCTATACTTCCGCCAAATCTTTTGAGGTTAATCTCAAAAGTTAATATCATTGAACTTTTCAAGTGAAGATTCCCTGCCAATGTAATGTACTTGGAATATATATGCTTTGACCAAATGGATTTGTGAAATTCAAAATGTAGTAATTTCCATTTCATTCAATGAATGAGAGGAGGAGCGTCATTTTGAAAATTAATCAATCCAAAAGGTATTCAAGAATGCTGAAATTACAGAATTTCGAATATAAATCTACACGACAGAAATGACAAATTTCTACGGAAAAAATAAAGAGATTAAAGTACTGAGTTTTCAAGATAGTGAGACACAAAAGCCTGAAAAATGAAAGACAATTTCCTCTTTGATGAGAATTAGGCTATCATAATCATCCAATATAGTCTCTTTTATGCCTGTTATAACAAAAAGAATCACAAGAATGTACTATTAGCATTATGTCAATGAAATATAAGCCAGCATGATCGGCTTGTGCTGGGCAATCACAAAGATCCTACCTTGTTGGCAATGTTGTTTGACAGCCAGTCCAGTCCCTCGTAAAGTCCTTCCCCAGAGGTGGCACATGTGCTCTGGATATACCTGCAAAAAATGGAAAAGAAAGTCGTCAATGGTCCAGGTACATAAGACACGTTGATTCACAGACAAATTCTTCCTCTGAAAACATGTGGCCACCCACGCATGCCTAGTTGCAGGTGTATGTATGGGTACATATCCAAGAGTTATATCCCTTTTTTTTCTAAGATCTATGATATGGAGATATGGCTAAAAAGGATCCAAAATTTAGACACGGATCCTTGGATATGTATTAGGAACTTAAAAAGTTCTTCAGAAATTTTTAGAAAGAGTCCCAGCAACATACACGGAGAGAGAAGGGTTAGGAAGTACCAATGGCGTTGACGGAGAGAGTGAAGTCCAAGCTTGTCAGTTATCTCAGCAGCATTCATAGCATTTGGTAGATCTTGTTTGTTCGCAAAAACTAGAAGCACTGCATCCCTCAGTTCATCCTACAGAGGCATTAACAATAATCGTTGCCAAGAACAGATTTAATAAGTTTTAAAACTATTAACACGTGTGTCGGTAAGCAGACTTTAAAAATTTTGACCTGAATCAAGTAAGTCATCTCTGATGCAGTGAATTGAAAAGTTGGACGTATTATATTAAATTCTTAACAAGAAATGTAGCCTATTTTCAGTGTCCTGGATAAAGACTGACCCAACAACATAAATCAGTTTAATTACCTCATTCAACATCCTGTGTAGCTCATCCCTAGCCTCAACCACACGGTCTCGATCATTACTATCAACAACGAAGATTAGCCCCTGAGTGTTCTGAAAGTAATGCCTCCACAATGGTCGGATCTACATCAATGACAAAATCAGAGTGCAGAGTATCAAATGGCAGCTTACAAACACAAAAAATCTCCTAGAATTTTGTTCAAAACTTCAAACATAATTGACATTTTATGTTGCCTTCTAACTTTTCAAATAGAGTATGCAAGACGCACATTTATGCAAATGCATACAAGTGAAAGATATTCCAGTAAAACATAAGCATTCGGTGGATGCGGGATGGACTGCTAATTCATTACCAAACAGTACAAGTTCTGAAAAGAACTAGAAAGCCAGTCAAGGCCTGACTTTCTCATGCAGATGCTAAAAATTAGCAGAAGATCAATTTCTATGGTGCAGGTGACTTACTGACAGAATAGATGGATTCCCCACATAACCCATTAAAAAAAGTCAAAATCTAAAAGTATAACATTACTCAGACAATCAAGTTCAATAACATTAGATCATTTAGTAGACAATGTTCATCATATTACTTGTTGCAAAATTTTGGCAATGGAAGTCAATTGACCTTTTTAAAAGCCAAACTGGCTCCTTAGTACCATTACTGCATTTGGAAAAAAAATAATAATAATAAGTTACATAGCATAGTGTACCTTATCTTGACCCCCAACATCCCAGACTGTGAAGCTGATATTTTTGTACTCCACTGTCTCCACATTGAATCCTGGAGAGATATGCAAATAAATTCTGTAACTAAGAAGAGGTGGCAATATGTGATTGGATAAGAGCACAAGAAGAGCAGCCTGGCTAGAATCTCTACTTCAAACAACAAACAATTAAACATCTATTGTCAAAATTCATAAGCAGGACCATAAAGTAATTATTGAAATTTACAGCTCAATGTTGGTATATTGGTCTTAAAAATAAACCATAAACCCTAAGTCCACCAACGGGCTACGACCAGCAGTGTATATAATATTGGCCTGAAGGGACATGCATATGGACGTGCTTTTTTCCATCTGTTTATTTGTGTACTTTTTGGGTGGGGGTTGTAGCTTATCAACCACTTTACATCAGGATTTATATAGTTTGCACTAACATTCCAACTACACTAGCTGTAACAGATGGAAACAAAAATGTATGTAGACAAGCTAAGTGAAAAAGAAGCAACATTTCTTCTTTGCCATTGCTCTTCTACTCTCTCTTTCTCTCTCAATCAGTCATGCACACAAACAGACATGATGGAATGAAAGGAGCATAACAGAAGTGTAAACAAATATTCCTAAAAGAAATGGAGTGTCACATTGAGCTTTGCATTGTATTGGATTACACTTAAAGCATAGGTATACGTGTGGACATACCAATTGTAGGAATAGTCGTTACTATTTCTCCCAGCTTAAGCTTGTATAATATGGTGGTCTTACCAGCAGCATCAAGACCCACCATAAGTATCCGCATCTCTTTCTTTGCGAACAGACGGCTGAAAAGCTTGGTAAAAGACAACCCCATTTTCTTTGCCTGTTACACCCAAAAATTAATTGATAATGCATTCAAAATAAGAATCCAATTAGCATTGGCAATCTATTTATGCAGAAAAAGTTTCATAGGTCTTAAATTTAGGAAATTCAGAAGATCTCTCGAGTGGGGACTGGGAAGGAAACAGACAATAAGTGATTATAACCCAAAACGAGCAGCACTGAAAGAAACAGAAAGCCTCCAAATTGCAGAATGACTGCAAGGCCTTCAGATAAAAGTCCTTCATCCCAAAAGATAGTTTTTTGGGCTAAGAATTCAACAGAGGCCAACAGATTGACTTTTAAAATTACAAATGATTATTTGATGAGAAATGTAGAGCTCCCAACGATCCTTAAGATAGCAGCATAGAATTCCCAACCATCGGTATAGGATGTGTGCTTGAAAAAATAAATCCAAGGATCAACCAATAGTATTCATAATTCAAGCAGCTTATCCATTTATATAGTGAATTGCGGATCTAATCAGACATTGACTAAGATAAGAGACTCATTCAAAATTCCGCTTCTTATTTTCACATTTCCCATTTTTTCAAACATAAAATTAAACTTGATATCTTAATGTTTCTTTTCAAATACTCCAACTTTTTTATTTCATTTCTGAATCAAATATCAAACATATAAGAACTATGTAAATATCAAATTCAATCAAAGACGTGATTAATACAGAAGATCCATAAAACATTCATTTCAACAACGCATTTGACAAAAAACAGAAGTATATACTATTTTATCAATCATTTCATTTCCATTCAGACTAAAAAAATAGAACAAATAATCAGTCATCTAAACCTAATCCCGACAACAATTTCAAAATTTAAAAAAAAAAAAAATCGATCAAAGGCCAGTCACATAAAATAAATCAAAGAATTAAAACGTAAATTCCAACACACAGAAGCAGATCCGTGCACAAATCCAACAAAAACTACACAGATCACTTAATTAAGACCCAAAATACATACAAATTTCGTTCAATGAGATCTGATCCTGACTTTTAAACATATATACAGATCATACGAATGCAAAATATATGAAATTGAACAAAGAAACAGATGACTTACGTGATCAGAAAATAAAGAAGGAGATTGATTTGGGAAGAAGAGAGGGGGCAGATCTTGTTCAAGGCTGCCCTTATGAGAATCTTGTTCACGAAATGCTTAGAATGGGATTTTATACATATATGGATTCATTTTAAAAATTTGAATAATTATTTTTCTTTTTTTAATTTAAACCATTTTGGATAAATTGTTCTAAAAGTCCTTGTTCTTTTTTTCAATTGACATTTTAGTGCAGAAAATTTGTCACCCTTAATTATTGTGTTGATAAAATGACTCGTTAAGTTGTCATATGGCTCTCTCATCAATCTTCGTTAGCCAAATATCACTAGATTGAATTTTTCTATTTAGGGTCCGTTTGATTGTAAAGATGAAATCTGGGTGAAAATAAAACGAATTCCAGATAATTGAATTGTCTAGAAATTCTTTTACTGAGAATTGTCAATTATTGTATTTAATTAGTATAATTTTTCACATGAAAAATGTTGAAATAAAAGTATTTTTCGATGTCGTTTGGCTTTATTTTATATGAAAATTGTCAATTAAAATGATAGAATTTACTGGTATTGAAAATAGAATTTGTTTTCATTGAAAAAAAAATCTATTTTTTGATATTCGTTTGGATTTGTTTTACATAAAAATTGTCAATTAAAGAAAAATATTTTTTTTACAATTAGGGATAGAATTTGTTTCCATTGTAAAAAAATCAGCAGCATAGCCTAAAAAAAAATTCATCGAAAACCATGGAAATGTCCATATGGCAAGAAAACCAATTACCTGGAAAAAAATATGCTATCAAACAGCCAAAAAATAGAAGTGAGAATTTGAATTCTATTTTCCATGAAAAATAATGATCTATCAAACATGTCCTTTAAAGCTCTAAACATTCAATTCACTAATAGCACGGTGAGACGTTTTAACAATGCTAGTTTGAACAATATAAAAATATAATTTAAACTGATCAAAATTTTTTTTTTTTTTTCATACGTTTCCTGGGACCTATAATGACTACACACTTATTCTCCATATAATCTTACCAACATTTAAAGCACTATAGACATACTCTAAAAATTAGGTGTTAGGTATATAATACTATTCACTATACCTTCTTTTTCAGTCAAGCTTGATATATCTGCCACTCATTAACTTGTGGCATGGGTGATGTATTTCGTGAAGAGAATAAAAGAGATGATGTCCACCGCTTAGCCTAGTGACTCGTCTTTAATACTTAATTAATTAACTTAACAACTAAGCAATTTCCTTCGTATTTGACGTTCATTAATTTTTGCTTTTCCTTCGTTTTGACAAATTTTATTCAAGTCAAAGGCATTGCGGCTCACTCAAATTTCCGTAGAGTTGCATCTACAACTATCATCTTTAATTTCTTCCAATTAAACTTAATTTAAATTCATATGTAACTGCTCTAGTCGTTGTTGCCACTACTCAAATTACGTGAATGATTGATGTGGATGTCAAGAACTAACACGTGGTTGACGTGTAACTCCACATCACACACCCCCAATGTTATTAGTTTCAAACCATCAAATGGCTTATGTGTAATTTGTCTCATACGCAACTCAACAAAAATTTAAGCAATTCATCATGTATTAAACCCAACTTTATTCATTCAAACATGTTGAAATAGTCCTGCTTTTGCATCAACCTTGTATTTGGACGACTTAACTGCTCACAAAATTTTCTCTATGCGCCTTTACATTACCATCCATCACTTTAACTTTGATATTTATAATAAAATAACAATTCATAACGTTACACGAAAAGGGAAAATCCGAGGAGAGATTTCTCGTACATAGGATATGTCGTGTGAATCCATGTTCACTCGACTAACTTTTCGCAATACACAGTTTGATATATCGAGTGCACCTTCGTACAACGACCAAGTTTTTTTCCCCTCGATTTATCTCTAGGCTGATCATATAAGGTTGATAATTGGGTTCTCAAATAACTGTAATTTCCATGCCATTTTGTGCTGTAATTTCCCCATTTCTCGCTGTAACTCCTTCATCTTGATCCTCAATGTTATGAACAATGACCTCGATTTCTCTATTCTTCCCCCATAATACACCATAAAGTCCTACAACAATCAATACTGATCCTACAAAACTAAATCAACCACAAAAGATAAATTATTAAAATAATTTTACGTTGATTCCTTGCTCGTCTATTGATAGAAAAAACAAAGTTATACTTACGTTCCAATGTATAATTTTTCTTCGAGTAAAACCCAACTCAGAATGGCCACAATAACAAGCAGCAAAGGGCTAAACACTGAGACATATAGAGGACCTCTCTTTGTAATGCACCATGTCATTAGGCAAAATGCCATTGCTGAGCATATTATTCCCTGTAACAAAAAATTATTATAATTTATGTTAACTTTAGTAATCAAATGGATTAAAAAAATACTGTAAGGATCGTAGAAAGTTAGAGATCGTACCGAGTAGATGACCGAAACAACCCTAATGGGTTGGCTTAATGACCAAGCTGCTAAGTTGTGGTCGAAACCAAATGCCACAATCACACATTGAACACTTGCCATTAAGCACATTATCGTGGTGCTCGAGTATGGAGCCCCATATTGCTGACAGACTCTTGTCTGCATAACAAAAGTAAATAATAATTATTGAAATAATTACTTAATTTAATCTAATAAATCCATCTTTAAATACCCTATTACATAAGTTCATTATTCT